TCTAACAAATGTCTCCATTCCTTTAATGCCATAATGATAGCTAAAAGTTCTCTATCACCAATGTCATATCTCCTTTCAGTGTGTGATAGTTTCTTGGAAAAAAAACCGCAAGGGTGCAGCGGCTTATCTAAACTTTGTCTTTGGGATAACACTGCGCCTATCCCTGTTTCAGACGCATCAACTTCAAGTAAAAAGGGTAGAGAGGTATCAGGATGAACTAATACAGGTGCTGAGGCAAAAGACTGTTTGAGCGTTTCGAAAGCAGATAAAGCCTCAGTAGACCAGGTTTTGGTATCGGCTCCTTGTTTGGTCATATTAGTGATAGGAGCGATAACAGAGGAGTACCCTTTAATAAAACGTCTGTAATAATTAGAAAATCCAAGAAATCTTTGTATGGCTTTGAGTCCCTTAGGTAAAGGCCAATCTAAAATCGATTTTAGTTTGGTCGGGTCCATCATAAACCCGTCTTTGGAAATTACGTAACCTAAGAAAGTTACCTGAGACTGGTCAAAGCTACATTTTTCCAATTTACAATACAATCCATGTTGTAAAAGTTTCTGTAATACCTTTCTGACTTGTCTATGATGTGAATTAATGTCTCTAGAATGGATTAATATATCATCCAAATATACAATTACACATTCATGTTGGAATTCTCTAAGAACTTCATTGATCAAGTCTTGGAAGACGGCCGGGGCGTTACAAAGCCCAAACGGCATTACGGTATACTCATAATGCCCGTAACGGGTATTAAATGCTGTCATCCATTCATCTCCTTGTTTAATTCGCACTAAGTTATATGCTCCTCTTAAGTCAAGTTTAGTAAAAATACTTGAGCCCTTTAGTCTGTCAAAGAGTTCAGTAATCAAAGGAATAGGGTAAGCATTTCTGATAGTAATTTTGTTCAATCCCCGATAGTCTATACAAGGGCGTAAGGTACCGTCTTTCTTTTCTACAAAAAAGAAACCCGCCCCCGCCGGAGAAGAAGACTTTCTAATAAATCCCTTGTCTAAATTCTCCTTGATATATTCCTCTAAAACTAAGTTTTCCTTGGTGGATAGAGGGTATACCGTACCCCTGGGAGGCATAGTACCAGGGAAAAGTTTAATAGAACAGTCATAAGACCGGTGGGGAGGTAAAGTATCCGCCTTACCCTTGTCAAATACAGATTTGAGGTCTAGATATTGTAATGGTATCTGAACGTCTGTGGATTGAGAAGTGTTAGCATAAGAGTTTACGGGGCAAACAGAAGTAACTCTCTGCAGACATTCTTCCCTACAACCCATACCCCAAGAAACGATTTCTCCACCCTCCCAGTCAATCTGAGGGTTGTGTCTCTTGAGCCAAGAATATCCTAGAACCACTGGGACTGCCGGGGAGGAAATTAACAGAAGGGAAATCAACTCTTCGTGGAAAATACCAACAGTAAGCTTAACGGGTTCGGTCTCATGGAATATTACTGGTTCAGATAAAGGTCTACCATCTATGGCCTCAACGGCCAAGGGTGTATCTCTCAATTGGAATGGGATACAATGCTTATTAGCGAAAGTTTGGTCTATAAAGCTTTCTGCTGCTCCAGAATCTAATAATGCCATCGTAGCAATAAACCCCTTTTCCCAAGCTAGAGAGACAGGAATCAGAAGCCTATGGTCTTTTTTATTATGCATAGAGGACAGTAATGAAACACCCAAGGCCCGTCCTCTAAGGGAACTTAGGTGCGAGCGTTTCCCGGACGATTAGGGCAACTAAGGCGTAAGTGACCTCTCAGCCCGCAGTATAAACAGAGACCCTCCCTTCTCCTGTACTGTCTCTCAGCCTCAGATAAGCGAGTATTACCTATTTGCATAGGTTCTGGTGGAGTAGGATTATAGGAGTCAGGGTTCTGAAATGAGGGAGCGAGTCTTACAGGAAGTCTAGTAACTCTTTCCCGAGTGTTCTGCCTCTGTCTCATGCGTTCATCTATTCTGGAAATGAAGGATATTAAATCCTCTAAATTTTCCGGAAGTTCTCTTGTGGCAATTTCATCTAAAATTTCATCAGACAACCCATTCAAGAAAACATCCATAAAAGCTTGTTCGTTCCATTTCACTTCTGCTGCCAATGATCTAAACTCTAGAGCATATTCTACAAGGGTCCTATCTTGTTGTTTAAGGCGTAACAGGGATCTGGCCGCATTAATCTTCCTCCCTGGGGGGGTCAAAGGTTCTTCTAAAAGCCGTGACAAACGCAGTGTAGTTGTAGACTAAAGGATTGTCATTCTCCCAAAGGGGATTGGCCCATCTAAGTGCTTTATCTATTAGCAGGGTTATAATAAAGCCTACCTTAGCCCTGTCAGTGGGGTAAGCCCGGGGTTGTAGTTCGAAATGTATACTTATCTGGTTTAAAAAACCACGACAAGCATCAGGCGAACCCCCATATCGTAATGGTGACGTGACATGGGAAGATGCGCCTACAGTGGCTACTTCCAAACCAGTACTTAGCGAGTGGCTAGCAGTGGAGCGTATTTCTTCAGACTGGGTACTGGAGCGTGTCAACAAAGTTTGTAGCGCTAAAGCCATTTGGTCCATTCTATGGTCCATGGCCTCAAATCTGGGGTCAGGAGGACTAGCACCTGCAGGATCCATCATGGCCCTGTCGTAATGTCAGGAAACTGACAGGGATCCAATACGCAGAGTGCGCACAGAAGGAGGTACTTATACCGGACCTTAGAATGGCCGGACTAACGTAAGGACAAAGCAAGAATAGTCAAAAGGTAAGCCGAGGTCAAGGGAGCCGGAGGACAGGTAAGCGAGATACAATCCGAGTCAAAGGAGAGGAGAGGACAACAGGACAAAAGGCAAGCAAGGGTCAAAACCGGAAACACTAGATAAAGAACGCGCTGAGTGACTAGCAAGCTAGAACCACGACAGGGCAATGAGCAGTAGTAAAGGTTTCCTTTAAATACCCTGTTACCTAAATAGAGACCACGCCCCCAAAAGGTCCGGAATAGCGGTTCCCGGCACTTTATGCAAATGCCGACGTCATGACGTCGACGCTAGCCGTCGCGTCATAAAAGGGGGAGGAGCTAGCGCGGCCGGCGCGAAAACGGCCGAAATATGCCGAAATGCTAGGGGAAGGGAGCCCCTAAGCAGAGAGGATGTCCTCCCTGGATACATCACCAACAGGTACCCTGACACCCTGCTAGTGTAAATCAGAAAAAAAAATAAAGTTAGTGTTAATAAAAAAAAATAATAATAATTATATATGTGTATATATGATATATAGACATATATTATATCTATATAATATATGTCTATATATCATATATATATATAATGTCATACTAAGTGTATTTTTATATTAATATGTACTTATATTAATATAAAAATACACTTATAATTAAATTACACACGTATATATATAATATATATAATAACTATATATATTGTATATATATATTATTATAAAATATAAATCATAAGTAATTTAAATTAAATAAAAAATTTTTTAAATAATAATAAAAAATTAAAAAAAATTATATAGCTATATGAAATTTTATTCTAACTGTATTTTAAAATTAATATATATATTTATATCAAAATACACAGAATGAATTTGTATACATATCTATGTATATAAAAATAAATAAAAATAATAAGAAATATACATATGTCCATATACAAAATTACATAAATAATTATATAAATATACACGTAGACTTCAAATATATAAATATGCATATATATTTAAATTCTACGTGCGTATTTATGTAATATTTTTACATAATTCAGTAATTTTATTGATTGCAATTTGAGGACCTGCCTGCCAACCCAGGCCGAAATTCCAGAGAATTTAATTTGCTAGCACTGTATTTTACCCTGTAACGTTCTACGACACCCTAAAACCTGTACATGGGGTACTGTTTTACTCGGGAACTTCGCTGAACACAAATATTAGTGATTCAAAACAGTAAAACATATCACAGCGATGATATTGTCAGTGAAAGTTACTTTTTTTGCATTTTTCACACACAAACAGCACTTTTACTGATGATATAATTGTTGTGATACGTTTTCCAGTTTTTAAACACTAATATTTGTGTTCAGCGATGTCTCCCGAGTAAAACAGTACCCCCCATGTACAGGTTTTATAGCATTTTTGAAAGTTACAGGGTCAAATATATGGGTCAAATATTTTTACATTGAAAATGGCCAGGTTGGTTACGTTGCCTTTGAGAGCGTATGGTAGCCCAGGAATGAGAATTACCCCCATGATGGCATACCATTTGCAAAAGAAGACAACCCAAGGTATTGCAAATGGGGTATGTCCAGTCTTTTTTAGTAACCACTTGGTCACAAACACTGGCCAAAATTAGCGTTCAATTTAGTTTTTTTACTTTTTTCACACACAAACAAATATGAATGCTTACTTTGGCCAGTGTTTTCGACTAAGTGGCTACTAAAAAAGACTGGACATACCCCATATTGAATACCCTGGGTTGTCTACTTTAAAAAAAATATGTACATGTGGGGTGTTATTCAGAGATTTATGACAGATAATAGTGTTACAATGTCACTATTGATAAATTTAAAAAATGTATGTTTTGAAACCGCAATATTCTACTTGTACCTATAGCCCTATAACATGCAAAAAAAAGCAAAAAAGCACGTAAACACGGGGTATTTTTAAACTCAGGACAAAATTTTGAATCTATTTAGCAGTTTTTTTCATTCGCTTTTGTAGATGAGTAAAAGATTTTTCAAGTAAAAGTCAAAAAACATGTATTTTTTTCAATTTTTCATCATATTTTTTTATTTTTTTAAAATTAAAATACATGAGATTATATAAATAATGGTATGTAAAGAAAGCCCCTTTTGTCCTGAAAAAAACAATATATAATTTGTATGGGAACAGTAAATGAGAAAGCGGAAAATTACAGCCAAACACAAACACCACAAAAGTGTAAAAATATGCCTGGTCGCAAATGTACAACATCGCAAAAACAGTCCAGTCCTTAAGGGGTTAAATACAACAGTGATATTGTGTTTATCTGTGAATCAGGAGTGCGCTGGATGTGAAGAGAGAATTCTCAGGAGGTGTGTAGGTATTTACTTAACGCCATAGGGTAAATATAGTTAAGACACCACAGTCAAATAATACTGGTGATAATTGGCACAAAGTCATCTGCCATTTATGTTTGTGTACGTCATTGCCTGTGTTTTCATTCAAGAACTTTCCAGCAAGGAGCTTTTTTATTGCAACTCATGAACCAGAAGAAGAAGAAGCTCTGGACACTCTATACTCAATTGTTGAAGAAAAATATTGCAGCTGAGAGTGATGAGAGTAGGGACAAAATGCATCAGGAGCAGGAAACTGTTACGCTAAGGTGGTAAACGGAATGTGACCACACAAAGTCCCTGAACACATGAACTGTTTTTATGAGAAGAAATACTAAAGCTGAGAGTGATGGGAGTAGGTAAATACAAAATCCTACGTCCTTGTTTGCTCAAATTATTTAATTCCTCCCTGTTTACATGTGTATGTTCTATGAGACTGTCCAAAAAGAGAGTATCCAGTTTCCAGAACTAATGTTTGTGAAAATGTCAGGCACACAGACCAGCGATAGGCTACAGAAAAGGAGCTCCAGTGACTGTCCGTCTGTGTCATAATTCACGGGTGTTATAGGTTTGTCGTGTCTAATGCTATATTAAGCTCCAAAACACATCCTCACATGAACACAATATCATTGGTTAATCTAATAAAACATGGTTTGAGTTGTTCATTATTATAAGGGTGGGTATGTGCCTACTTCCCAACTGGTAATGCATGTGCTCAATGGTGAACATTTATATAAGCAATAAAATGTTAATGGGTAATAATTAATGGGTAAATGGGTATCGTTCTTCAAAAGGTGGGTTTTGTTGTAGAGCAGGTAGTGTTAAAATGGGGAAGATTCACAATTTACTGGTTTTATAAATGCTTGTTTTATGACATAAGTCAAAGGGTGGTTTGTAATGGTATTTATTAATTAATGACTTTACATCATAAAGAAAGCATATTTAGTGTAATGCTTTGGGGGCACCACTAGGGGGAGTGTGTAGGAAGACATGTGCTTCTGGCAGTGACATCACAGGCCAGCCTACTTACACTGAATAAAAACCAGATGTAGGAGAAACTCTCTCTCTTTTTGCCTGTACCTGACTGATCATGTAGTACCAGCTCTGACTTAGCCCCAGCCCTTTGGCTGGGGCCTTGTAAGTAATATGAATCCATTGTAACATTTAGCAATTGTAATAGCCTTTTGTATAATATTTAGCAACCAATAGCGTTTTGTGTAGTATTGTATTGTATAATTATTGTGGTAAATTGACATTCCGCTAGCATCTGTTTATTTATTATAGTTATATTAAATATACATTTAATATTACAACGTTTTGTGTATTTTCTATCCACATATTCGACCATAATACCATGAATTATAAAAATATTAATGTTGTTCCGTATTGCTTAATTATTATGTATTAAGAGATTAATATTCATATTTAAGTCACGACCACAACAAATACTAAAAGGCTTTTTTAGATGTGGAAGGTGTTCCACATGCAATTTTCAAAAAAAGAGCACAGATGTATTTTTAGGCACTTATACTCAACAAACTTATCAGATCAATAAATTTATTCAATGCTCCACCACCCACGTAGTTTTTACTGCAGTGTGGTTGTGGAGCTCAATACATTGGTCGTACGATTCGAAAATTGCATGTGAGATTATTGGAACATTTTTAAAATATAAGAAATAAAAAATTAGAACACAGCGTATCTAGACATTGTGCCTACTGTCCACATTTCCAATGGAATACATTGATAGCAATTGGGATAGATAAAGTAGAAAAACATCGGAGAGGAGGTAATATTGAAACTCTGTTAAATACTAAGGAAGCCCAATGGATTTTTAATTTAAAAACTTTAAAATTTGTTTTGAATCAAGAAATAGATTTAATGGGATTAATTTAATTTTATTTTATTTTTATTTTATTGATTTCATTTATTTATATGTTTATATTTATATTTATTTTATATCTATGATTATTATTATTATATTGGTTTATATTTGATGATTAATTTTCGTCTTTTTATTACAGAAACATCATTTCAAAATACAGTAATAGTTAGATTACAACTAAATATAGGAAAGATTTATTGGATGGTGTATATAATATATTATTCAATTTTGTGAGAAATTGAGCATATTAAATTGATTAGTTTAGTATTGATTGTGTATACCTTTAAATTTCTCAAAAATTCTTTATAAAACTTTTCATAGAATTTTCAAATTCTATATTCTTAAATTTCAAATTTTCAAATTCTAAATACTTAATTCTAAATATTCAAATTTATTCTAATCATTCAAATTAATCAAATTTATATCTGTAATTTAAAAAGTAAATGCTTATAAAAGGTATATTATATACATTTGAGTGACGCATACATATATATATATCAATATGGATATGCCCAATGTCTGGTAATTTATATGTTTATATTTATAAGTTTATGTAAGATGTGCTCTTTGTGGATAAATAACAAAAATATCATCTGTTCCATCTGTAATCTTATGTTGCAAGTGTTATTCGAGCTGCCATAAACGATATATACTGTGTTTTCACTCTATCCGCGAAACCGGAAGTGACGTCATATGGAAGTAACATGCGTTCCACGGTGGAACGCACGCCAACACCGGCGAACTCTTGAGCGATTAAAAGACGGATATATAAGAAGATTCTCAATCCCATTACAGCTACACATCCCTGAGGAAGTCCAGAGGGGGACGAAACGCGTTGGAATTGTTTTTATTTTGTTTTTGTGTTGAACTTTATTTTAATATTGTTTGGTTGCTACTATCACTGCTCCAGATCCTGTATCTTGATTGGTTCAGCTGCTACAAATGAATACCACCCAGTGTGGAGACAAGCTGCTTTTATTCTGATACATTGTAAGTGCAATACATGTAATAAATTGTTACTTTTTATACAATCTGCACTATCTATTTTCCTCTTTCTATTTGGAGTGAATTAGAAGATTTGCTGCTATCATATAATTGGATTCATCGCTGGGGGTCCTTCATACTTTCCAGTCCCTTAATACAGAGGGACTATGCCTGATCTCATCCTATTTTTGTGAGTTCTCTACCACCTATAATTTCCAAGTGGCTTTAACAATATTACACTATATATTGTTTGTGTATTTTTTACAGATATAATTCTGAATCTAAAATATATCAACATAATCCAGTTTGTATTCACTTATTTATTATCACTTTTGGTGATTCACATTATTTTGTACCTTTTGTTTTTTCTTTTTCTTGTCACTGTTGTCATTTGAGTGTTTATAAGGGAACACTTATAAACCTAGGGTACTGTGTGCAGTATAGCACTGACAGTTAACTGTTTGTTTTCTTAGGTATGTTCCCTTTACCTTGTTCTCCCAGGACCTGTTTAATTCCCCAGATCGTCATTTTGTGACATGACTTTCATATCTCTGGCACTCACCCCTTTATTTCAGTAAGACTCTTGACTTACGGCAAGCCTATATAATTGTAATTATATATATATATATATATATATATATATATATGTATTATACATGGAATACTGTACACCGCCCAGGACAGGTAAAGAGATAAAACTTAAAGGTTTTTTTTTTACCTGCCAGACCTGCCAGACTGACTTTATAGTCTACTTTCTCAAGTGCCCATGTGGTTTAGGCTATGTGAGCAAAACCATACATGCATTAAAAGACCGCATCTCACAACATAAAACCACCATTTGGAGTCCCAAAGAAGATACTCCTGTCGCTTGACACTTCAGGGAGATGAGACATAACGTGTCTCAACTCAGATACCAGGTCCTTGAAAGGGTACCCCCTTTAGTGAGAGGAGGCAATAGGGAAAATATTTTTTTACAAAAGGAAGCCTGTTGGACATACCTGCTGGATACAGTGGCCTCTCATGGTCTTAATGAGAAGCTTGAGTGGCACTGGTTCCTGTAGGTATGCCTCTTTACACCCACCAGGTGGCAAGTCTTGTAAGTATACTTCTACATTATTTTATCTTTTTTGCCTTAGGTTTCCCTATGGGTATATAGCTATCTGGATAGTGTACTTCCCTCTTTAACTCCTGTCTCTTTAAAAATCCTGTGTCTACATCAGACCTTTCCTTGCTATTAGATGAGCTTCATCTATTCCCCACTATTCTGTGGGGGTGTTTTTTGTCTTTGCATTAACTTTCTTCCACTCTTGTCTCTTTTTTCTGAAAAGACAGTGTTTACAGCAAAAAGCCTGAAGGTAATGATTCTACTCACTCACTCTACTTACTGCGTTAAAATACACATATTTGTATTCTGTGATGTTCCACAAATACAACAATGCCCCCCATGTACAGGTTTGCTAGACTTTTTGGATATCACAGGGCCAAATATGCAGTCTTCATTCATGAAAATTTGACAAATTTCTTTTCTAGGTTTATGCTGCCTTTTGAGCGAAATAAAAAAAATTGCACCCATCATGAGATTTGTAAAAGTAACAATTAAGTCACAAAACCTGCATACATTTTTTTTTCAGATTTTTTTTTCCATTTTTCACACAAACATTGCATTTTTACTGATAATATCATTCTCCTTGACTACTTTAAAACATTCATATTTGTGTTCAGTAATGTTTCACGAGTACAACAGTACCCCCCATGTACAGCTTTTATAGGAGTTTGGAAAGTTACACGGTCAAATATAGGACTAGTCCCTTTCAGGTTTTACAAACTGATTATGCTAGCTTGGCTAACTGTGCCTATGTTGCCTTTGAAACAGTATGGCAGCCACTTTTTAGTAGCCACTTTGTCAAAAAACCTGGCCAAATGTAGTGTTCATATTTTTTTGTGATTTTAACACAAACACAATCCTTATATGTTTTATTGAGAGGAAACATTCATATTTGTGTTCAGTGATGTCCGCCTATATCGCTTGCAGGGAATTGATTAGAGACTACAACTAAATGGGGTAGAGACTAAAAACAATAAGTCTTCTGCATATACTAGTTACTCATACGTGTGATCCATGATGTCTTATGAATACAACAGTACCCCCTCATATACAAGTTTTATGGGGTTTTGGAGACTTACAGGTTCAAATACGGTGATTGCCCATTTCAGTTTTTACATATTGAAATTTGCCTGATTGGTTTGCTGGGCCTATGCCTTGGAGA